TTTTTTTTTTTTTTTTTTTAAAGATCACGATATTTAGTAGCCAACTACACCACTAGCAAGTGCATTGCCCGTGCATCTAACTAGTATTTATGATAAAAATCCTTACACATATTATGTACACCACGAGTAAAAATCATAAATAGGGAAGCGGACTAGTTATGCGTGCAATAGTGCAAATTCAATGCAAAAACATCTTCTTTACTTCACATTGATGATGCTCAATTTTTTTCAGAAACTAAATTTTATAAATCAATAAATGATTTGCCATGAAATGTATACAATTTCCATGCACAAAGAAGAACAAAAGCAGAAGAAATTTCTCATTGCCATGCATAAATCTCATTCAAGTTTCGATCTTTTTGAAAGATGTATTGGATTATAGGATTTCTCATTTCTAAATGATAAATTGGGTTTAGCCGAAAATCTACCTCCTTTCAATTCATCTTTTACTTTTTGATCTTTGATACTCAGGAGGAAATTTCAAATCCAAATCCAAATCCAAATCAAAATCTTTGTTGTGGGTGGGTAGCCGTGAAATTGGAGAATCCTATGCAAATTAAATTTGAAAATTAATGGAGTTTTAACTATTTTATAGTGATTTTGGAAGCAAATTTTATGGCATAGGTTTGTTGGACATCAAATTGCTGTATTGCAGCAAGATTGATGGTGAAGATAATAGTATTAGCAGGGTATAATTGTCAATGCATTCACACGTGGTTTTTTGTTAATGTACACCGCAAATATGAATTTTTTGAAAATAGGACTGTCTTTGTAGTAATGTTTTCCTTTTTTTATTTTTATTAAATTAGGTTTATAGTTATAAATTTGTCGTGGTATATTAGTTGAAAACATGTTATGTGAGTGTTTAGTGGGGATTAAAATTAGATTTTTAGTAGATTGTGATAGAAATTTTTGAAAAGTGTGGTTGAAAAGTTGTAAGACCCATAAAATATGTGTTTAATATTAATTGTTTGATTTTAGAGTGTGTTTGGTAGGGATTTTTGGGGGAAAAATTGATTTTTGAATAGTGATATAATGGAAAATGTGTGGTTGAAAAAGAAGAAAAAATTATTGATGTGATGGAAAATATTATTTTATTGAAAAATGTGTGGTTGAAAATGAGAATTGATTTACTGTAGAAAAATTTAATCATTTCCAAACANTTGAAAATGAGAATTAATTTATTGTAAAAAATGAGAATTTGTACCGAACAGGTCCTTAATTCGAAAGAAACGTGGCCTATAATTGTGGCGTGGAGTGTAACAAGTAAATTTTATGGATGTAATTAGTCAATCCAGACTAAATGCCCTAACTACCCTTTCAACTTGTTAAATAATCTCCTAACGTGGCATCAAAAACAGGTGCAAAAGAGTAATTTGATACCCCGCACTCCACGCGGTCTAAATATACCCCCTTCTCCTCTGACGCGCCTTTTGTTTTCATTTCCCTCTCCAGCGTTTAAAAAAAATTCTCTCTCTAAGAGGGCACTTCGCACTCTGGCCTCTCTGTCGATTTCTCCAGATAGATATACTCGATTCGCACTGAAAATATGATGAAGTTTTTTAGCAGAGGTGATTCACCGCAGACGCCGACGCCGTCGATTTCTCCATCTCTGCAAACTCCAGTTTCAGCGGCGACTAGTATGACTGCCGGGCCAGCGAGGCCGATTCGCCTCGTATACTGTGATGAAAAAGGGAGGTTTCAATTGGATCCGGAGGCGGTGGCGGTGCTTCAGCTCGTGAAGGAACCCGTTGGTGTAGTCTCCGTCTGCGGCCGTGCTCGCCAAGGCAAGAGCTTCATACTAAATCAGGTTTGTTTTAATATTAAGGAAATTTGGAGTCTTTTAAAGATTTTATTGATAGTCGAGGGTGTTGTGATGCTTTGTGTCACTGCGTAATTATTTGAGGAAGTCAGTTTACATTGACTCTTGTAATTACTTTGGCTCGAAGTTGGGTCACTTCGGAATTAGGTTCTACGGTGACAGTCCTTATAAATTACTTGGGGGGCGGAACAGTGTTTTTAAGTACAATCGAATAAGCTAGAGTGGCATGGTGTTTTATCTTATATAGTCATATAGTGGGGCTCTAAATAAAATATGCACCAATATTATCATGGGACGAGTAATAGAACAGAAAATGTAGGTTAATTGGCGTCACATATTCTCGTGGTTGCTGAAATCTGAATGAGGTAATTTTGGAACTCGTCATTGGCAAGGTGTTTTCTCAGGTCACGTTCAATGTTGGTATGGTCAGAACGTCTACGTGGTAAGTGGTTCTTGACACAAGAGATGATGGATACTTAACACACCAAATGCGCCAAAAGAAAATAGTTAAAAAGCTGAGAGAGTGGTAGAAGGGGCAGGAATTGTAGTTTACAATAAGTATTTTGTTGAAATGCTAAGGAAGTGTGTACTCTACATCGTCTTCAGAAGTTTGTCCTGGAGTTTGCAGTAGAAGGAATCCTAAAGTCTGGACAGTTTTACATTCACAAAAAATTCAATGATGCATGTTGAACCTGGAATCGATTTCTTGGTCTTCAGTTAATTTCTATAGATGTCTTCTACTGGGAGTGAACTTTCAGGATTAAGATAGATGTGTTTTTTAACTCAAATACTATTTTGGTAGCATGTGGGCACATGGATGACGTCAGTTGGCATTCCTGCTTTCTTGGTTTGCTGTACGTTTCTCCATTTGTTGCTACCTGAAGTAGGTTATTCAGCGTCAGTCATTTGCTAATAAATCGATCTTGTTTGTTGTGAGGGAATATAGACATTGATTGTGAGGGAATGCAGACAGTGATTTGAATTTGTAGTGTCATGCAGTGGACACTTGGGATGACGTCGGTTGGCATTCCTGCTTTCTTGGTTTGCTGTATGTTACTCCATTTGTTGCTACCTGAAGTAGGTTATTCAGCGTCAGTCATTTGCTAATAAATCGATCTTGTTTGTTGTGAGGGAATATAGACATTGATTGTGAGGGAATGCAGACAGTGATTTGAATTTGTAGTATCATGCAGTGTTAAGAGTACCATATTAATTGTTATTCTGCTGTCTTTTGGATTATACACCATCTTTGCATTCTTCACTAGGATATTGTTATTTCCAAATTTAAAGGACATCTGTTTTTAGATATCGAGTATGAAAATGAGCTTCTCCTTACATCTATCATTGTAGCTTCTTGGACGGAATAGTGGGTTTCAAGTGGCGTCAACACACCGTCCATGTACTAAAGGTCTTTGGTTGTGGAGTGCACCACTCAGGAGAACTGCTCTTGATGGAACAGAATACAATCTCTTACTCTTAGACACAGAAGGAATTGATGCTTATGACCAAACGGTTAGATTCCTACCTTCTACATTGATGTTTATTTAAAAATTGTCCTTGTGCACTTTTTTCTTCATATATAATACACAGGTTTATATTCTTGTTACTCATGTATTGTTTAAATATCAGATCACTTCTGATTATTTCTACTACTGTTTCTTCTTTGGGCTGTATTTTGCATCTATACACTTTACATCCACATTTGAACAGGAAATGTTTAGCATTGTTCTTTGTTCTGATTATTGAATTACTACAAATTACAGTTACAATCTAGTATATTTGGACTGCATTGCCATATTTACATATCTCGTCTTATGCTTCTTGTACACTAATTTCCTTTTTCCCTTTTTTTCCTGATGTATTTTAACAGGGAACATATAGCATGCAAATTTTCTCTTTGGCAGTCCTCTTATCTAGCATGTTCATCTACAACCAGGTATGGAAGATTTTGTATGAAGCTTTTGTTTATTTCCCTAGGAGTCCGGATATATATTTTAAGCTGTTTACCTTTATCGTCCAAGACCCCATCCTTTTTTTTTTTCCAATCACTATTGAAAGGGTTACTAAGTCTTTAATTCCCTAATTCAGATGGGTGGTATTGATGAGGCTGCACTGGATCGCCTCTCTCTTGTAACTGAAATGACTAAACACATTCGTGTCAGAGCCTCTGGGGGACGGAGTACAGCTTCAGAACTTGGGCAATTCTCTCCCATTTTTGTGTGGCTTCTAAGGGTAATAAGAAAATGACATCTTCCTCTATTTGTTTCCCCTTCCTAACTAGATATTGTTCTGTTTTCTTGACTATTAGGATCTCAATCAACTAGCAGTTGGTCTTCATTTATGAGCATATCCTAATATTTGAATACGTACCCGCAGGATTTTTATTTGGACTTGGTTGAAGATAATCGCAAGATCACCCCGCGTGACTACCTTGAGCTTGCTCTGAGGCCAATTCAAGGTGGCGGAAAGGATGTAGCTTCCAAGAATGAGGTTTCGCTTATTCCATTTTCGATTTGATCTGCATAGATATTGTGTGATAATCAATTACTCCTTTCAAATGGTACATGATACTGTTGGATAATTTTATGTAGCCTGTCAATAGCCCAATGTTGCATCTTTCATTTCTTCAACATATGGAAGGTCAATGGTTTTTGTGATTTCTTAACTTCTGATAAAATATTGACTAGATTCGAGAGTCCATTCGAGCTCTTTTCCCAGATAGAGAGTGCTTCCCGCTAGTTCGGCCTCTGAGCAATGAGAACGATCTCCAGCGACTCGATCAGATTCCAGTAAGTAGTTCCTTGCTGTGATGTCTCAAGACGTGATTAATAAGTTAACTATTATTTTGGTTTAAGGATGGTATCTTCTTTACTTAGTGCTTGTGTGGGAGATATTTTTTTGAAAAGTGATTTGTTTGAAGAGTATTGTTCAAAAGTAGTGAAAAGTTATGGGAAAATGTGAATGTTTTTTTGCCTGAAATGAGTGTGTAGAAAAGATATTTTCAAAAATCACTCCCACACAAGGGCTTACTCTTTTTGTGAGGGTTTCTAATTAATCTTTTATATGCAGTTGGACAAATTAAGGCCCGAGTTTAGATCCGGTTTAGATGCTTTAACAAGATTTGTTTTTGAGAGGACAAGACCCAAGCAAGTAGGGTCAACAGTGATGACAGGACCTATTTTTGCCCGTATTATTCAATCATTCCTAGATGCCATTAATAATGGTGCAGTGCCCTCAATAACCTCTTCCTGGCAGGTATATATTTTCTTCTCCTTCCACTTTTAAAGCTGAATGTCCTTTTTTGGTTAAAGTATTTGTATTGTTTTGGCTAACACTGATGGTGGTTTCACTTTATAATCACACGTCACATTTGGCATCCCTATAGTAGTAAGAAATGGATGCTGTTATGCTACTACATAGTTGCTCCACAGTTTGTTATTTATATTATACATGTATACTACTGGTCTAAGTAGTCACTGTCATGGTTTTTTTAAATGCTTCTTAAATGCAATGAAAAACTTGTAAAATTTTGGGCAGAATTAATGTTTTGCTTGTAAAATAATGATTAAATTAAATATCTAAAAAAATTCTGTATGAAATATTTTAGGTTTGATTGTTTGAGAATATGTGATTTCATTTAAATTCGTCTAATTTTGATACTACCCATGCCCTCTCGTCATCCTCTAAATGCAATAATTTCTGGAGTTTTAACGAATATGTTTTTGAACTTTTGAGTCATGGTTGTCTTTATCCTTTATCACGGTTGAAATTCTGGAAACAACACGTTCCTTAATGGCATAAGGCGTTTACACAATCAAAGTCTTCAAGGATGTCTTTAGAACAACCTAAGTTCATTTTTTTCTTAGGAGTAAGACACCAGATAGTTATGAGCCACTTATTTAGTTAAATATTTCTGAATTTCTTCAAGACAGAAAGTGCATTTTTTCACGTATCTCTTCTAGGTGCCTGTTTGACACCCGTTTTTTGGAAAAACCTCATTTTATTACAGTGCAAATTCTCCACACGCCACCACAGTCAACTTTATTGTGTCAGAGTACAAATTCTGTTGATGGGAAATAATATTACCGTTGCATTATTATTCCGATTTTGCCCTACAATTTTCATCATGGTGATTTTCACATGCCGGCAATTTTGAAGGGCATTTGTGGGAAGAAAAATGATGGTCATTACTTTCTGTCATGTCAGTAAGGAAGAAAGACACCATGTCAGATGAAAATTTAATTTTCAATGTACCCGGGGCCCACACATTATGCAAGTTTCTGTTCAAAAATGGTAGAAAAACGGGTGTCAAACAGGCACTAGATTTATTTCTTTGTAACAGACTGTGGTCTTGTGTCACGCGTTTTCTACAATGTAAATTTATGTCGCAAGTGTACAGTGTCAAGTTTTGTAATATAATGATTGAGTTAAGAGTGTCGAACCCACAGGGATTGTAATTCAATTTCTACCAAAGTACTAGAATTGTATAACTTCTATTTTATTTAGACAAATGATGAATGGTTGAATGATTGTTTTAAACTAGTCAAAAGTAATGTGTGACGACAAAATTGTAGAATATAAAATTATTAAAATGAGAAAGCCTAGGGAATGATTTCACCAACTTTCAATTATATGATTCAATGAAATCAAATTATTTCAATTAATTTTCTCATATTTAAAAGCAAGAATCTAATTGTATTTATCTCCCCACTCTCGAGTGCCGACTAGAAATTAATCATAGAATTCAATCTCAATATCTCTATTCTGAATTAAAGCCTAGAATTTATCAAAGCCTAGAATATGTGGAGTAAGTTTCATAGATTTTACACTTTCTATCGAAACCCATAAAATCTACATTGTGTCAATCTTATGATCATGTCTAAATTCCCCTATCTCGAGTGCCGGAATTGACTAGTATCTATTCATTCAATTATTGATCAGGTAATTGAAAGCATTATAATCATAACACAATTAAATATAAGTGGAAAATTTCAATTGAGGTGATTCAAGATGCTTTGGAAAGCTAACTCATCGGGCTACAACTTTGATTCAGACATCATCCTCCAATTTGATCATTTTCTGTGTCAAAAGTGGGTCTCAATATGAAATTGAAAATCCGGAGCGAAACTTTTTCGGTTAGAATTTGATGTGTGATCATATTTTGATTAAATTTGATCCCTTTGACATATTTCTTCATCCAATTTTCCCTTAGCACTCTCAAATCTTCATCGTGAGGTTCGGCACAATTTTTAAGTATTTGCACTTTAGTCTCCAAACTTTGGATCTCTTACAATTTAGCCATTTTCTAAAAAATTGTCAACTTCTGCTTATTTTCTTCAATCTCACCAATCTAAATCACAACATCAAAACACATATAAAAACACTCTAAAACTTTCTTAAGGGTAACAAAATAATGCATTAAGTGGCATAAATATCATGAGTGTGGAGCACTCATCATCTTGTATATGGTTTTATTCCCGTTATATTCTTTTCTGTTGAGTTAATTAGTTATTAGTTATAATTGTCTTAAAGTTAACTCTTGTAGGAAATATATCCCAGTTGCTCCAAATGAATATTGGCGCTGTAGCAGTTATTTTTATACTCTTAATTTTACGTTTTTGATTGTTGTCTTCTCTAGAGTGTTGAAGAAGCTGAGTGTCAGAGAGCATATGAATTGGCCACTGAAGTCTACATGTCTGCATTTGACCGTTCCAAGCCTCCAGAGGAAGTAAGTTTTTCATTTTTCCGTAGCTTTTACATTATGATTTATTTCCTAATTTTGGAAGTCTTATAGGCTGCACTAAGAGAGGCACATGAAAATGCGGTTCAGAGGTCGGTGACTACATTTAATGCTACTGCTGTAGGGACTGGTTCAATTAGGCAAAAGTATGAACAGCGTTTCCAGCATTTCTTAAAGAAGGCATTTGAGGTAAACATTTTCTTCCATCTTTTCCCATATTTTTGTCAAACCTGGCATATATCATCTGAACAAGCATTAGGGGCACAACTATTTCTATTGATAATCAACTTCTACTTCTTTTCTCTTTACTGTATTCCTTTTTCCCACTCAAGCAAGTGGGTCTGTAGTGCTGCATTTTCTTTATGAGAATTGCTCTCACGATGTTGCTCTGACTATTAATACCTGGTGATGGGTTTGAGTGGTGGAAATAAAAGTTAAAATTTTTGAAAAAACAAAAAAAAAAACTCCACACTGGCTGCAAGTCTTGAGCATCACTGCTGTTCATGGTATTACCACTTCAAGTGTTTCAGTAATGCCAACTTCAGAGTAAATTTCTGCCAGTAGACATTTATTCAAGAAAAGGTGTTCGGTCCATGATCAATAGTACCTTGTACTTATAACGAGGTTTATTTGGGATGTCTGGTTTAGATCTAAATAATGCTTACTTTAATCTTAAATGTTACTGGTTAATGGAAGATCATTCATAAGTGACATAAATTTGCATTGTAGAAAACATTTGGCCTCCATTTGGCTGCCAATTTATAAATAGTTTATAAATTCAGTTAAAGTCAAATATTAATTTCAACCACACTTGTAACTACTACTAATTTATTATCCACACGTTTTATAGGATCCACTAATATTTCTCTTTATAAATGATCCAAACAGAGGCTTAATGATCTTGGCCTGTGAAGTAATAGTTCAAACGCATGGCTCTCGGATTCTCACATTGTAATAAGACAATTGTGTTTAAAGCCCCATAGGAGTTAACAGTACTTCGAATTTTAATTATTATCTGCCCAGTGCAATTATTGATTTGGATTGGGTTTGATTGTAGGATATCAAGAAGGATGCTTTCAGAGAGGCTTATCTGCAATGTTCCAACACTATACTGAACATGGAAAAGGAGCTGAGATCAGCATGTCACGCGCCTGGGACAAAAATAGATGGTGTTTTCAAGGTAATCCTTCATTTCAGGAAGTTGCTTCTTTTGTGAGATGTCATTCTCTCTTTTAATTTGTGTATAGATAAGTTGTAAGAGACACCAGTTTAAGAGCAAGCCTGTGTTTGGCTTGTGTACATAAATAAACACTCAAGCGTACTACTTATCCACCGGTCCTTTCCATCTATTTATAATTTAAGCTGTTTATAAACACTTCCCAGACATGTTTTTTAAGTAAATGCACTGGAAAGTAACATATCTAATGTTCTTTCAGGTTCTTGATGAGCTTTTGTCGAAATATGAAGCTACTTGTCATGGACCTGAAAAGTGGCGAAAAGTAGTCACATTTTTACAACAAAGGTCTGCATCATCTTATTTACTTTATATGGATTTGTATCTGTGGCTGTATTTAACAATATCACACTCTCCAGCTTGGAAGGTCCCCTTCTTGACCTCATCAAGAAGCAAATAGATCAGATTGGAACAGAAAAGAGTTCTCTGGCTTTAAAATGCCGTTCAATTGAAGACAAAATGATTTTGCTTAACAAACAACTGGAAGCAAGCGAGAAGTACAAGTCCGAATATTTGAATCGTTATGAAGATGCTATCAAGGACAAGAAGAAGCTTGCAGATGATTATATGAGTCGCATATCCAATTTGCAGAGCAAATGTAGTTCTCTGGAAGAAAGATGCTCAAGCTTATCAAAGACAATTGATACAGCAAGGCAAGAATCTCTGGATTGGAAAAGGAAATTTGAGCAGGTTTCATCGAAGCATAAGGCTAAGGAAGAGCAGGCCAGTGCGGAAATAACAATGCTCAGGTCCAAGAGTTCTGCTGCTGAAGCAAGGTTAGCTGCAGCTAAGGAGAAAGCTAACTCTGCTCAGGAGGAGGCAGAGGAGTGGAAACGGAAATATGATGTTGCTGTTAGAGAAGCTAAAAATGCTCTCGAGAAGGCTGCACATGTTCAAGACCGTGCAAACAATCAAGCACAAGTAAGAGAATCTGCTCTAAGGGCTGAATTCTCCAGTGCTCTTGCGGAAAAGGTGAAATCTCTCTCTCTCTCTCTCTCTCTCTGTGGGTGGGTGCAGGTGTTGGTACACAAATTTACCCCTTTGAGGTGGAGATCATGTTTATTTACTTTCTTGTGTGGAATGGCAGGAGAAGGAAATAAAGGATAAGACGTCTAATATTGAGCGAGCAGAACAGCGTTTGACCACTTTGAGTTTGGAGTTGAAGGTGAGATTATGACAACTCTATTCTCTCTGGCGTGTTTATTATGCATTGCATGTAATTTTTGTCGAACCAGATGAATATGTTCCTTAGATTTGTTCTCAGGGTCCCCAATTGGTTCCAGTTCTGTAGATTTGAACAATAGTTCTTTTCATCAAGTTTCATGTTATAATTACAGTTATTGCTGACTTAATTATTAAAATTGTTTGAAACAAGGACTATTCTAGGCTCCAGGTTTGCACTTATTTCTGGAAAAGTTGCTCCCCACCCTACCCCCACTCCAAACAGACTCAAAACACCTCATCCAACGCAAACCCTTGTGTCCAGCAGGTTGCATGCCATTATTTGTACCCATATTCATCCTGGCACTGACTCCACCTCCTCCATCCCCCAAAGAGGGACGTTAAATTCAACATGGTTTTTGGAATCCTGTTCAGTTAATAGTAGGCTGGCTTCTACAAGAAATTTTGGCTAATTATATCTGAAATGGTATGAAGCTACATACAAGTAATGTGCTGTTGGTACTTTCAGAATTACGTAGATTTAAATGTAATAAGGATTGGCTGGTATTGTGTAATCTGGGGTACGTGTATTTAGAGTGGATTATTTGGTTTATGATAGTTTTTTGGTCCACTGCTTCCTGTACCTTCTGCAGGCTGCTGAGTCAAAGATAATGAACTATGATCTAGAAATATCAGCCTTAAAGCTCCAAATCAAGGAGTTGGGCCAGAAGTTAGAGAGTGCAAATGCTTCTGCACAATCATATGAAAGAGAAGCTAGGATGCTGGAACAGGAAAAGATTCACTTGGAGCAGAAGTACCAGGCCGAGTTTAATAGATTTGAGGAAGTACTGGACAGGTCTAAAGCAGCTGAAAGAGAGGCTAAAAGATCAACTGAGATGGCTGATAAAGCGAGAGCGGAAGCAGTCACTGCCCAGAAGGAGAAGAGTGAGATTCAACGAATAGCGATGGAAAGATTGGCACAAATTGAGAGGGCTGAGAGGCAACTTGAAAGTTTGGAGAGGCAAAAGTCCGACTTAGCTGATGAAGTAGATAGATATCGAGCTGCCGAAATGGATGCTTTGTCTAGAGTTGCGACGCTGGAGGCCAAAGTTGCAGAACGTGAAAAAGATATTGACTCGGTTTTGGAATCAAACAATCACCAGAGGAAGAATACAGTTCAGGTACTTGAACGTCTGCTGGAGAGTGAGCGTGCTGCACATGCAGAAGCAAACAACAGGGCAGAGGCCTTGTCTGTTCAGTTGCAAGTTACGCAAGGAAAGCTCGATGAACTTTCACAAGAATTAACTGCTCTTAGATTTAACGAAAAAACATTGGATAGCAAACGAAGAACCGCTTCCCATAGCAAACGTGGTAGGACAGATGACAATGAATTGGGCTTCGACTCAGTTCAGGATGCTGGAGAAAATGACAGATTAGCCAGAGGAAATAAGAGGTCGAAAAGTACAACTAGCCCTCTGAAGTTTTCCAGTCCGGAAGATGGTGGTTCTGTATTCAGAGGTGATGAACAAACTGATAGCCAACAAACCAATGCGGAGGACTATGCTAAGTTTACAGTACAGAAACTAAAGCAGGAGCTCACCAAACACAATTTTGGTGCTGAGCTTCTTCAATTGAAGAATCCCAATAAAAAGGACATTCTAGCTCTTTATGAGAAGTGTGTCCTGCAGAAGTCCTAATTTGGATCATCGATTAGTGTATAATGGGTAAAAAGTTGTTTAGTGTAGGTAGTACGCTTCTGTTTTAGTGCAGAGTTTGGATAATGGCTTGGTTTATTACTTCTTTTGAGTTCGCTTACATATGTTGTAACAAGTGACGTCCAAATATATATTTTTATTACGTAAAATACTGTTTGTGGGCTTGTGTGATTTTTGTTCAAGTTACGCTGAGGCAGGTTGATGGAACTTGTATTTGATGAATGCAGAAGAAAATTATTGCTTGTCAGTGACATGTGACCAGTGGATATTGATCTACAATTTATGCATTGTGACTTGTTAACATTAATTTGTGACCAGTTAATTTTGATATGTGACATGTTAACATTGATCTAACTTGTACAATATGATGTGTGATTTGTAAATTGTAACATGTGACAAGTTCTATTTGAGCTGTGATGAATATTAATGTGAATGCGTGAATAAATTGTGATTCATGATCACCACCGCACACCTAGCTATGCTATGCTACGATTCTTGATCTGAGCGTCGCGCTGAGTCGCGATTCGGCTCCATTTATGGGTTTATGGCTCCATTTATGGGTTTATGCCTCCATGCCTCGGTAACACTATAGGCGCAAAACAATATCAGTTATCTTAGCCGGAGCGTCGATGACAGATGACACATAAGTAGAATAGTGGAGAGAAATGGAATGAAATGAATGGTCCATCTGATTCAAGAATGGAATTTGGGTGGAAAGCAAATGAATTTTAGGGAATTGAATTATTTAGAACTTATTTTATTGAGAATTGTCAATTAATTGTGTTTGATTGATATAATTTTTCACCTGAAAAATATTGAAATTTTGGATCTTTTGATCATTTGACTTTATTTTCATGAAAATTATCCATTAAAGAGATATAATTTGTTACAATTGGGGTGGTGGAAAGTAAATGAATTTTAGGGAATTGAATTATTTAGAACTTGTTTTATTGAGAATTGTCAATTAATTGTGTTTGATTGATATAATTTTTCACCTGAAAAATATTGAAATTTTGGATCTTTTGGTGTTCATTTGGTTTTGTTTTCCATGAAAAATTGTTCATTAAAAAGATAAAATTTGTTTCAATTGTAGAAAAAAAACCCCCTAGAAAAGATTTTCCCACCAAACCCATGGAAAGAACTTTTCCTCAAACACCAAGAAAATGTGGAAAATCAATGGAAAATTTAATCAATCAAATATGCAAAAATGTGAAATGAATTTTAATTTTTATCTTCTATGGAAAGAGCAATCAAACAGGGGCGAAATGAAATGGTTTGGAGTGGGGGTGAGGTTGGGGGCAGGGACAGATAGAAAGGGGGCGAGGGGGGCTGTAGCCCCCCACCTACACCTAAATTTGTTTTAGTTAGAAAAAACAAAAAAATTTATATAAAAAAAAAAAAATCTTGGGTAATTTTTTTTTACGTATTAGCCCGACCTGTAATTCGGTTCTGGATCCGTCCCTGGTTGGGGGTGGAGTGGAGTGGAGAGGGTAGATATATTTACAATATTATAATTAAAAATTAAAAAAATGATTTATCACCTGATTTGTGAATAATTAAACCTCAGCCCGCACAGTGATCTTTAAAACGCGTAATTTCCACTTTGAAAATTGAAATTCAATTGTTACAATATTGTGAAAAAAAAAAAAAAAAGACTAAAATCTTGTTCATTATTCTAATAATGCAGGCCAAATATGATGTAGAGATAGTACTCAAGAAAATGCTACAACCTCTTCTAGTGTTTACCATTAAAGGAGCAACTTCCACACCAACAAACAACTGAAAAATGCTTTGATTAGATAAAAAGGAATTCGCCTGCTAGAAGATGAAGATTCAACAGAAAAATCAATGCCAATAAACAGTACATTTATGTAGCAACACAAACAGAGGTTTCAATGCATTATGCATATGACTTGAAATCTTTGGTATTGGAAAACTTTGGTGGTTGATTCATTTACAGCTTTCAGACAGCATCAACTCCTCATTAGTTCTTTTACTATTACTATTTCACCTCAATTCTGCATCTGCATAACCTCGTGAGGACCCCCAAAACTTTCATCCCCGGCCCAAAGATGTACCAACTCCGTCTGTCAAGCGACACTTCGTTGATCCGAGGCATCTTCGTGGTAATAAGGTGTCAATTTGCCATCGTTTGAAGCAGTCTTGCGAAGGTTCACGGTGCCTATCTCTTGCAACATCTTGACAATACGTCTCATGGAAGGCCGGTTTATGGGCAGGGGACTCGTACAGAGAAGGCCTATATTCAGCACTTTGCTTATTTCGTCCTTGAAACAGGAATCAAGTTTTGGGTCGATTACATGGTCTAAACCCTTTTGGTCTAATATGGAACATACCCATTTCACCAGATCCTTATCGCCATACTCAGGATCAACTGGAAGTTTACCGGTCACTAACTCGAGAATAACCACACCAAAACTGTAGATGTCACTCTTCTCGTTCACCCTTGTAGTGTACGCATATTCTGTAACGGAAAGTGTGAGTTAATTAAATTGACATTAACATAAATTTATTACTAATGGAAAATGATGATAACAATAGGACCCAACCAAAGAAAAGGACCTAACAAAAGGATCCTACAATGATAGCAACTAGTGGATTTCGTTAACGAACTCATTTCAATTGCCAATGCTTATAGATTACTAATCATTTCTGGGCTCATTCTTCACCCCAGAAACTTCAGTGTCACCAACTCTAGCTAAATCTTCTGTAAAAATATCTGCAATTCTAATTATCAAAATGTAAAATTGTACATCAATAACCTACAAGCAATCAAGCAAGCTATGTACAACTAGCAAACATAAAATTTCATAGCTAACTTACAAACCTGGGGCGATATAACCACAAGACCCTGCAATGACAGACATGGATTTGGTACCCTTCCCATTCACATCAACCACCTTAGCCACACCAAAATCTGCAACCCGAGCTCCATAATCTGCATCCAACAATATATTACTCGACTTTACATCTCTGTGAACGATCGGAGGGACAGAATCATGATGCAAATACGAGAGTCCCTCAGCTGCATCCATGGCTATCTTAAACCGTATCGGCCAATCTAACAATCCACTTTTTGTACTACGAAGCAAATCCCCTAAGCTACCATTAGGCATGTATTCGTAAACCAAAAGCTTGCATCCCCTCGTTGAACAACAACACCACAACTTAACAATATTCTTATGCCTAATCTTCCCCAAAGTATCCACCTCCGCATCAAAACCATCTTCTGGAAAATTAGCCTTCTCAATATCGCTACTCTCATCAGCCAATTTTGAACATCCCCAAAGCTTTTTCACAGCAACTGCCTCACCGTTGCTCAGAACCACCTTGTAAACCTTACCAGATGACCCACTTCCAATGACATTATCCTCATCAAGAGCATCAAGTATCTCATCCTCACTGAAACCCAATTTATGAAACGACATTAGTGTCCATTTGGATTGATCAATCGACCTTTTAGTCTTCTTGAATTTCCTATATTTCAAGTAGAACCAAACTAAACCCACTGTAAGCACCACTCCAGCAAGCATAAAGATTGATCTCAACATCCAAATATAACCCATGTTCTTGACTTCACTTCTTCCATCACACAAACCCTCTATATCTCCGCACAATCCCGGATTCCCCAAAAAGCTATCTTTATACATTTTCTTAGCATACAAAGGTGGAATATCACCAGAGAGGTGATTGCTCGACAAATTAAGCCGATTCAACTTCAAGTTCTGTAATCCAACAGGGATTTTACCTGAGAATCTATTCCCAGACAAATCGAGGTAATTGAGTACAGCCACTTCCACAATTTCGTTAGGAATATTCCCAGAAAATTCATTGTTTGCCAGACTCAACTCATTTAACTTCGTCCACAAATGAATCCCACTCGGAATTTCGCCAGACAATTTGTTGTCGTGAAGATCTAGCTTCACTAATTGTCCCAACTTCACTATACTAACAGGTAACGACCCCGAAAACTCATTATCATTACCCGAAAATTCCAATAAATTACCAAGAAAACCAATCTCTTCTGGAATAGTACCAGAAAAGCTGTTCATGGATATTATCAACTGAGATAAATTTGAAGCGCCGGCAATGGTTTGTGCAATCCCACCGGAAAATGAGTTGCCGGCGAGTTCGAGCAGCGACACGTGAGGGAGACCCCAAAACCCGTTTGGAACCTCGCCTGAAAGTCTGTTGTGCCCGAATCTTACACGCAATAAGCTCTGGCATTCGGCTAGAGCCACCGGAATTTGGCCGGAAAATGAATTTTCAAGCATTAAGACCTCTTCAAGAGCACCCTTTGAACACAGATTCTCTGGTATTTCGCCGGAAAATCCGTTTGTTGATACGTCAATCCACCGTAAAGGCGAGGATTTTCCAAGATTTTGGGGTAATTTACCAGTTAACTGATTCTGAAAGAGCCTTAATTCGTATAAATTAGGCGAATTGGCAATGGTTTCTGGTAATTCACCTTGGAATCTGTTCTGATACAGGTTGAGTGACTCCAGTGGCAACTCGCACAGCTCGGCCGGGATTGGGCCACTCAAGTCGTTCATTGACGCATCGAGCAACCTCAAGGCTGACATATTTGACCACCCTGTATTCGGAAGCTCGCCGGTCAACGAATTGTTGTAGAGCTCAATTTGAACTACGCTAGCCAACTCCGTGAGTGAACTCGGGATTCCACCCGTCAAGGCATTCAGAGCCAGGTCCAAGTCGGTGAGCCTCTGGAGTCGACCCAGTGACTCGGGGATTTCACCCACCAGATTAGTTTCCGTCAACCATAGTACCTCAAGATTCGTGAGATTTCCAAGCTTCGGCGGGATCCGGCCTGGAGAAAACGTGTTGTAGGAGAGATTCAACTGTTTCAGGGTCGAAATGTTCCCCAAAATTGAAGGAATCGTCCCTCCCAACAAATTCTCCACTAATGAAAGCACCTTAAGTTTCTGAAACTTCCCAAAACTCAG